CCCTTCTAGGTCACAGGGGTGAAAGGGTTAAATACCCAGTTCCTCATGTTAAATACCTTATCAGTTGGTAATATATATTAATTGGAGAGCCAAAATGAATAATACAAATGTTTGAATCCAGCCATTTTGAGGCAATAGGTTAAAAATGTGTTGTGATCAGTACAGCATTAAATGTTTATATAATGTTTATAAAAATAGTTTATATAATAATTTTTACAAAATCTAGGGCAGCGGTTCTTAACCTGTGGGTCATGACCCCTTTTTTGGGGTCAAATTATCCTTTCACAGGGGTCGCCAAAGACCATCACAAAACACATATTGACTGAAGTAACAACAAAAATAACTGTATAATTAGGGGGTGGCCACAACATGAGGAGCTGTATTCAAGGGTCACCACAACTTGAGAAACTGTATTAAAGGGTGGCCACAACTTGAGAAGCTGTATTCAAGGGTCACCACAACATGAGAAACTGTATTAAAGGGTGGCCACAATATAAGGAGCTGTATTAAAGGGTGGTCACAACATGAGGAACTGTATTAAAGGGTGGCCACAATATAAGGAGCTGTATTAAAGGGTGGCCACAACATGAGGAACTGTATTAAAGGGTGGCCACAATATAAGGAGCTGTATTAAAGGGTGGCCACAACATGAGGAACTGTATTAAAGGGTCACCACAACACGAGGAGCTGTATTAAAGGGTGGCCACAATATAAGGAGCTGTATTAAAGGGTGGCCACAATATAAGGAGCTGTAATAAAGGGTGGCCACAACATGAGGAGCTGTATTAAAGGGTGGCCACAATATAAGGAGCTGTATTAAAGGGTCACCACAACATGAGGAGCTGTATTAAAGGGTGGTCACAACATGAGGAGCTGTATTAAAGGGTGGCCACAACATGAGGAACTGTATTAAAGGGTGGCCACAATATAAGGAGCTGTATTAAAGGGTGGCCACAACATGAGGAACTGTATTAAAGGGTGGCCACAACATGAGGAACTGTATTAAAGGTTGGCCATAACATGAGGAACTGTATTAAAGGGTGGCCACAATATAAGGAGCTGTATTAAAGGGTGGCCACAACATGAGGAACTGTATTAAAGGGTGGCCACAATACAAGGAGCTGTATTAAAGGGTGGCCACAACATGAGGAGCAGTATTAAAGGGTCACCACAACATGAGGAACTGTATTAAAGGGTGGTCACAACATGAGGAGCTGTATTAAAGGGTGGCCACAATATAAGGAGCAGTATTAAAGGGTCACCACAACATGAGGAACTGTATTAAAGGGTGGTCACAACATGAGGAGCTGTATTAAAGGGTGGCCACAACATGAGGAACTATATTAAAGGGTGGCCACAACATGAGGAACTGTATTAAAGGGTGGCCACAATATAAGGAGCTGTATTAAAGGGTGGCCACAACATGAGGAGCTGTATTAAAGGGTGGCCACAACATGAGGAACTGTATTAAAGGGTGGCCACAATATAAGGAGCTGTATTAAAGGGTGGCCACAACATGAGGAGCTGTATTAAAGTGTGGCCACAACATGAGGAGCTGTATTAAAGGGTGGCCACAACATGAGGAACTGTATTAAAGGGTGGCCACAATATAAGGAGCTGTATTAAAGGGTGGCCACAACATGAGGAGCTGTATTAAAGGGTGGCCACAACATGAGGAACTGTATTAAAGGGTGGCCACAATATAAGGAGCTGTATTAAAGGGTGGCCACAACATGAGGAGCTGTATTAAAGTGTGGCCACAACATGAGGAGCTGTATTAAAGGGTGGCCACAATATAAGGAGCTGTATTAAAGGGTGGCCACAACATGAGGAACTGTATTAAAGGGTGGCCACAACATGAGGAACTGTATTAAAGGGTGGCCACAACATGAGGAGCTGTATTAAAGGGTGGCCACAACATGAGGAACTGTATTGAAGGGTGGCCACAACATGAGGAGCTGTATTAAAGTGGCCACAACATGAGGAGCTGTATTAAAGGGTGACCACAACATGAGGAGCTGTATTAAAGGGTGACCACAACATGAGGAACTGTATTAAAGGGTGGCCACAACATGAGGAACTGTATTAAAGGGTGGCCACAACATGAGGAACTGTATTAAAGGGTGGCCACAACATGAGGAACTGTATTAAAGGGTGCGGCATCAGGAAGGTTGAGAACCACTGGTCTAGGGTCTCCTCTGATCTTAGTTTCTATGAGTGCAAACCTGTAGGTGGTTTTATTTCTTTATGTTGCTGTTAAGTTGGTGCCATATTTTCTTTTGGTTGATTTCTAAACGGAATACTTATACCATTACTGCTCTTTCATGAGTAAATATATAAATATTGTAAAAAATCCCACATGAAAATTTAAATGTTGAATAAATACAAAATGAGCATAAAATATGATACAGATACAGCATGAGAATATTTGATGTCCTCTTCTAATAAATGTGGAGTAAAAATACATTGTACTGTAGGTCAAATACATTGTACTGTAGGTCAAATACATTGTACTGTAGGTCAAATACATTGTACTGTAGGTCAAATACATTGTACTGTAGGTCAAATACATTGTACTGTAGGTCAAATACATTGTACTGCAGGTCAAATACATTGTACTGCAGGTCAAATACAATGTACTGTAGGTCAAATACAGTGGATTTAAAACATGACAATGTAATCATCAGATGGGTGATGCTCTCATATATGATTGTATCAACTTATGCCCACTATTACTGATTGGAGAATCGACATCCTAGCACACCGGCATACCCATCACCGGCATACACAGTTTTTGCAACTTTTTTTTTTTTTAGCTATAGAAACTTTGTGATGATGGTTGGTATTCATGACAGACCTTGTGTGGTGCATACTGGCACTTTTTGCTTTAAGAAAATAACATTACTGATATAGATATATCTTGAATTGCCTACCCTCTAGGATTGTTATAGCTCTGTTTGTAGCCTCTATGATTGTTATAGCACTGTTTGTAGCCTCTAGGATACATATAGCACTGTTTGTACCCTCTATGATACAAATAGCACTGTTTGTAGCCTCTAGGATTGTTATAGCACTGTTTGTAGCCTCTAGGATATATATAGCACTGTTTTTAGCCTCTAGGATACATATAGCACTGTTTGTAGCCTCTAGGATTGTTATAGCACTGTTTGTAGCCTCTAGGATTGTTTTAGCACTGTTTGTAGCCTCTAGGATACATATAGCACTGTTTGTAGCCTCTAGGATTGTTATAGCACTGTTTGTAGCCTCTAGGATTGTTATAGCACTGTTTGTAGCCTCTAGGATACATATAGTACTGTTTGTAGCCTCTAGGATTGTTATAGCACTGTTTGTAGCCTCTATGATACATATATCACTGTTTGTAGCCTCTAGGATACATACAGCACTGTTTGTACCCTCTATGATTCAAATAGCACTGTTTGTAGCCTCTAGGATTCATATAGCACTGTTTGTAGGGATACATATAGCACACATCACATTTGGCAGCTTATCTTGGGCTGATGCAGTCCGAATGGTTTTTGTCATTTTGCAGGATGTGGATAAGATAGCAGGTGTAATCATCAACTGTCAGTACGGTAAGGAGACAGTATAGGCTGGCTACAAGATCCATCATTCCCCTATTCTTGCCGTGTGGGTTCCAGGTACCCATTCTGGGGGAGTGGGGAAGAATAGCCTACCCTCCCCTACCCACCCCATTACCCCTACAAGCATAAAAGGCAACTAATTTGGGGTTTTCTCTTTGAAGTAAGAGTGGATCTGCCTGGCAAAGAACTAGTTTTTTTTTTTTTTTTCATACAAAATATAAAGATCAGTACAATAATAGAGTGGACATACAATGACACATGTCTACTGCCGTTTATGCTAAGTACGCATTATTAAAAACATATCAGGAAGAAAAAGAACAGGACCACAAGAACAAGAACACAAAGAAGAAGAAGATTCTCCTACTCCTTATTCCTTTATTTTAACACCACCAGCCCAACCTTCTCCGCCATCTTCTATTCAGGCTACTGCTGTTGTTGCTGGAGAAAATGGTGCAACATGGAGTGTGCAGGGGCATCGTGTCTTCACAAAACACTCCTAGGAAAGGCCAGCTAGACACACAGACAGCTAGACACACAGACAGCTAGACACACAGACAGCTAGACACACAGATTTCTTCTGGTGGCCCCAGCATTACATTCTATGACTGCTGATGGTTAGACCATTGTGGCACTTATAACAATGTCCTGGGTGCAGTGATGTGGGATTCTTAACTCAACTCTGCTGCTACTACTACTACTACTACTACTACTACTACTACTACTGCTGCTGCTGCTACTACTGCTGCTGCTACTGCTGATGTCACTATTTTTTATTTGTCCATCTGTCTTTCTTTTTGCCTATCTGTCTGTCTTTCTTTCATTCTTTCTTTCATTCTTTCTTTCTTTCTTTCTTTCTTTCTTTCTTTCTTTCTTTCTTTCTTTCTTTCTTTCTTTCTTTCTTTCTTTCTTTCTTTCTTTCTTTCTTTCTTTCTTTCTTTCTTTCTTTCTTTCTTTCTTTCTTTCTTTCTTTCTTTCTTTCTTTCTTTCTTTCTTTCTTTCTTTCTTTCTTTCTTTCTTCTTTCTTTCTTTTTCTTTCTTTCTTCTTTCTTTCTTTCTTTTTCTTTCTTTCTTTCTTTCTTTTCTTTTCTTTCTTTCTTTTTTCTTTCTTTCTTTCTTTCTTTCTTTTCTTTCTTTCTTTCTTTCTTTCTTTCTTTCTTCTTTCCTTTCTTTCTTTCTTTCTTCTACCAAATACTTTTCTGAACTGGACCATCAAATGAACACAGGTATCTTCTGGCTGCCACCAGCAGTGTGACACCGGACCAGTGCAGCTACTCCACTACTGCAGACAGAACAGTCTCATGTTTGCCTCACTGGGTTGTCCAGCAACTGACCACTGTCCTTTCTCTGGGTGACCAGTTTCACAGAGTTCAAGAAACATTCACAAAGTCACAAAGTTGGCTACCATAGCCAGAGACACTGGGTGGCTATCACTGCTGCTGTCCACACTAGACGTGTGGTCACTCGGACATTTGTGGGAGAAGCCAGGTTGTTGGCAGGCAGTTGTGTGCTGAAATCTGTGGACAAAACTGACATCATTATTCAAAATGATGGATAAACTTTAATTCAGTTATATTTCTTTCAATATACATTACATACACGAGAGAGAGAGAGAGAGAGAGAGAGAGAGAGAGAGAGAGAGAGAGAGAGAGAGAGAGAGAGAGAGCGAGAGAGAGAGAGAGAAAGAGAGAGTGACATAGAGAGAGAGAGAGAGAGAGAGAGAGAGAGAGAGAGAGAGAGAGAGAGAGAGAGAGAGAGAGAGAGAGAAAGAGAGAATAAGGTCTAAAGTTGACAAACTTGCAGTAAAACTTATAGATGTTCAATAAGGTCACCGTCTGCTGCTGGACAAACATCTAACCAGTATTCAAGCTCATGCCACACACAGACAAGCATCAAGTGCCTAACTGAGTTCACCACAGCCGTGATACGTTTCTGCAGGTTCTGCTCTCGAGCTTTCTAGTGGTGGTATTCAAAACATTCCCTTCTCTCCTGTATGTACACTATTTATATCCTATGTCTATTCAAAGCATTTCCTTATCTCCTGTATGTACACTATTTATATCCTATGTCTATTCAAAGCATTTCCTTATCTCCTGTATGTACACTATTTATATCCTATGTCTATTCAAAGCATTCCCTTATCTCCTGTATGTACACTATTTATATCCTATGTCTATTCAAAGCATTCCCTTCTCTCCTGTATGTACACTATTTATATCCTATGTCTATTCAAGAGAATATCCATGTATGAAAGTTATTCATCATTTTAAATAATTCTGTATTCTAGTACTGTCATTGTTGAATATTATGTCATACGCCCATAAGGTGAAGGAGAGACTTGGGCAAGCATACTGCAGCATGGCATGTACATTTTAGGAGAAGAAAAAATAATTAATGGAAGTTCATAGGCAAATCCCATCTACAATGGGTAGCAGGTGAATCCCAAGTACAATGGGTAGCAGGTGAATCCCATCTACAGTGGGTAGCAGGTGAATCCCATCTACAATGGGTAGCAGGTGAATCCCATCTACAGTGGGTAGCAGGTGAATCCCATCTACAATGGGTAGCAGGTGAATCCCATCTACAATGGGTAGCAGGTGAATCCCATCTACAATGGGTAGCAGGTGAATCCCATCTACAGTGGGTAGCAGGTGAATCCCATCTACAATGGGTAGCAGGTGAATCCTATCTACAGTGGGTAGCAGGCGAATCCCATCTACAACAGGTAACAGTCGAATCCCATATACAGTAGGTAGCAAACGAATCCCATCTAAAATGGGTAGCCGGTCATGTCACTTAATGTAGAGATTGCTGTAGGAGACTGAGGCCAGCAGCCACCAAGGACTGCTAGAATGACTACAGCAGGAGTCTAAGACGGCCGCTGATGTGGAACCAGTCCTGTACTTGTTTGTGTCATTGCTTTGGTTGGTGATGTTGACTACACTGACCTGATCCTTTAGATGATGTTGTCTACACTGACCTGATCCTTTAGATGATGTTGACTACCCTGACCTGATCCTTTAGATGATGTTGACTAACCTGACCTGATCTTTTAGGTGATGTTGTCTACCCTGACCTGATCCTTTAAGTGATGTTGACTACCCTGACCTGATCCTTTAGATGATGTTGTCTACCCTGACCTGATCTTTTAGATGATGTTGTTTACACTGACCTGATCCTTTAGATGATGTTGTCTACACTGACCTAATCCTTTAGATGATGTTGACTACCCTGACCTGATCCTTTAAGTGATGTTGACTACTCTGACCTGATCCTTTAGATGATGTTGTCTACACTGACCTGATCCTGTAGATGATGTTGTCTACACTGACCTAATCCTTTAGATGATGTTGACTACACTGACCTGATCCTTTAGATGATGTTGACTACACTGACCTAATCCTTTAGATGATGTTGTCTACACTGACCTAATCCTTTAGATGATGTTGTCTACCCTGACCTGATCCTTTAGATGATGTTGACTACACTGACCTGATCCTTTAAGTGATGTTGTCTACCCTGACCTGATCCTTTAGGGGATGTTGACTACACTGACCTGATCCTCTAAGTGATGTTGTCTACCCTGACCTGATCCTTTAGGGGATGTTGACTACTCTGACCTGATCCTTTAGATGATGTTGACTACACTGACCTGATCCTTTAAGTGATGTTGTCTACCCTGACCTGATCCTTTAGGGGATTGTTTACACTGACCTGATCCTTTAGATGATGTTTATACACTGACCTGATTTTCTAGATGATGACCCTGATCCTTTAGATGATGTTGAATACACTGACCTGATCCTTTAGATGATGTTGACTACACTGACTTGATCCTTTAGATGATGTTGACTACCCTGACCTGATCCTTTAGATGATGTTGACTACCCTGACCTGATCTTTTAGATGATGTTGACTACACTGACCTGATCCTTTAGATGATGTTGACTACCCTGACCTGATCCTTTAGATGATGTTGTCTACACTGACTTGATCCTTTAGATGATGTTGACTACACTGACCTGATCCTTTAAGTGATGTTGTCTACCCTGACCTGATCCTTTAGATGATGAATGTTGTCTACCCTGACCTGATCCTTTAATGATGTTTTGACTACACTGACCTGATCCTTTAAGGTGATGTTGTCTACCCTGACCTGATCCTTTAGATGATGTTTGTCTACCCCTGACCTGATCCTTAGATGATGTTGACTTACACTGACCTGATCCTTTAGATGATGTTGACTACCCTGACCTGATCCTTTAGATGATGTTGTCTACCCTGACTTAATCCTTTAGATGATGTTGACTACACTGACCTGATCCTTTAGATGATGTTGACTACACTGACTTGATCCTTTAGATGATGTTGACTACACTGACCTGATCCTTTAGATGATGTTGATTACACTGACCTGATCTCCGTTTAAGTGATGTTGTCTACCCTGACCTGATCCTTTAGGGGATGTTGACTACTCTGACCTGATCCTTTAGATGATGTTGACTACACTGACCTGATCCTTTAAGTGATGTTGTCTACCCTGACCTGATCCTTTAGGGGATGTTGACTACACTGACCTGATCCTTTAGATGATGTTGACTACACTGACCTGATCCTTTAGATGATGTTGAATACCCTGACCTGATCCTTTAGATGATGTTGAATACCACTGACTTGATCCTTTAGATGATGTTGACTACCCTGACCTGATCCTTTAGATGATGTTGACTACCCTGAGTTAATCCTTTAGATGATGTTGACTACCCTGACTTGATCCTTTAAGGGGATGTTGACTACACTGACCTGATCCTTTAAGTGATGGTGAGTCAGGCATGCCACACACGCACAGTTATGAGGGTCTTCATGTGGTGGTTGCTAAACTGACTTCGTGCACTCAAATGTAATGCTTTCATCCTATCTGCTGAGGTGGTGGCTTTTTGACGTGAAACTGAGATTTCTTTTGCACATTTAGTTGATATACTACAACTAGACGATTTTGAATATGTCACAGCAAATAAGATCTCCCACAAAGATCTTCAACAGAAGTCAGAGATAAGCATTAACTAACACAGAACCACATCTACAACAAGCTACAATGTCCACAAACAGATTGATTTAAAACAGCAGCACCCAGTAACACAGGACCACATCTACAACAGACTACAGTGTCCACAAACTGATGTCAGACAGGAGCACCCAGTAACACAGGACCACATCTACAACAGACTACAGTGTCCACAAACTGATGTCAGACAGGAGCACCCAGTAACACAGGACCACATCTACAACAGGCTACAGTGTCCACAAACTGATTGATGTCAGACAGAAGCACCCAGTAACACAGGACCACATCTACAACAGGCTACAGTGTCCACAAACTGATGTCAGACAGCAGCACCCAGTAACACAGGACCACATCTACAACAGGCTACAGTGTCCACAAACTGATGTCAGACAGCAGCACCCAGTAACACAGGACCACATCTACAACAGACTAGAGTGCCCACAAACTGAAGCAGATCCCTCACCCGACCCCACGTTCTGTAGGTCACACAGCTTGTCATCGCAAACAGCAGCCATCTCCGCATCTGCTCTCACTTCTTCAACTCCTGAAACAGAATCTGGTCAAAAGTCAACATGGAAACCAAGAATCTTATCATTTAGAACTGAGAATCGTATTGATAGAACAAATAATTGTTTTATGAAAATAAAGAATTTCGTCAATTTAACTCAGTGATTCACACACGAGACCTGACTGCTTACCTGGCAGAGATGACACTTTCTCTGAGTGTGTCTTTTTCCGAGACTGACACTGTATATGTTTCTTTCGCACGGTGCCAGCGGCTTTTGAATGCAGGAAAGAATGTCCGTGTGTCTGTGTGTGTGTGTGTTATAACTATTTCCAGAGGTGTCACTTGGGGGAGAGGGGAGGGGGTGTGTTATGACTATTGTCAGAGGTGTTACTGGGGGAGAGGGGAATGGGGGTGTGTTATAACTATTTGAAGAGGTGTCACTTGGGGGAGAGGGGAATGGGGGTGATATTAAATGCTACATGTTTGTCAACCACCTACATCAATGAACACAAGAGCCGGAACAACTGTCAGATCAGGTGCCATCTCCACTGTGAAGGATGGCTTCAATGAATCTCCAACACACTCTGTCTCTTGTCCTGGTTGTACACTTTCTCAGACTACTGCACGTCCCTCTCTTGATATTGTCCTCCAGCTTGTATCATTGCCTACCTCTTGCTCTCTTTTCTTCGACCTTTCCTCTGTATGTATGGTTTTTAAAAGTGAGTTGTGTCTCTTAGTGTGGCCAAATTCGACAGTCTCTGTTTTTTTTCCCCCAGTGATTCTCCTTTCATTTGTAACCCTTCCAGAACTTCTGTACCCAACTGTTTCTATGAGATCGGACCCATTCTTCTGTACACCCACATCTCCAGGGATCATTTGGGTTTTCTAGTTGCTTGTTCATTGTCCACGTTTCTGCACCTTATAGCAGCACTGAGTATTCATAGTATTTGATGATTCTGATTGTTATTGTGTTATTGATCTCTCTAGCTGTCAGTAACTTGCGCATCTTATTGAAGACAGTTTCAGCTATGATATTCTCTGACACATGCTGCAGCAGATCGCGGATTGTGGAGAGTCATGATCGCCCACGCCAGTCGGCACGGCACCTGATGATGAGGAGGATTTTTTTTAAATTCCCGTTTCGCTTCTTAAGTCATCCGTCACTGCGTGTCTTAGATAGGAAAAACTTCTTCTTCTTCTTCTTCTTCTTCTTCTCCTCCTTCTTCTTCTTCTTCTTCTTCTTCTTCTTCTTCTTCTTCTTCTTCTTCTTCTTCTTCTTCTTCTTCTTCTTATTCCTTTTCTTCTTTTTCTTTTTCTTCTTCTTCTCCTCCTCCTCCTCTTTCTTCTTCTTCTTCTTCTTCTTCTTCTTCTTCTTCTTCTTCTTCTTCTTCTTCTTCTTATTATTATTATTATTATTATTATTATTATTATTTTTTCTTCTTCTTCTCCTTTACCTTGTACTTTTGAGAAGTGCCGGGGGGGGGGGGGGGAGAGGTGTAACGATCGTTGAATAAGCTATGTCAAGAGCACTATTAGTATTAATGCTCATTTCTGTCAAACTGTTTTTTATGCCATCACTCCATCTTGTCCGAGTTCTTCCCCTCGCTCTATGCCCGATGTAAGTGTGGCTGGCTGTGGCAGATAGTACCAGGGCATCCTTGTTAGTTGTCTAAACCACTTTATTTGTTGTTCTTTGATGACCTGTAGAACTGGTTTTATTCCTAGCATTCGTCAGACTTCGTATTCAGTCTTTCCTTGAAACTCCTGCAGCTGTTCTAAGGCATTTCATTTCTGTTGTAACAATTCTACATTCATTAGAAGATGTAAGTGTCCACTTTGGCACTGATAGCATAGTATTGGGAAAATCCTTGTCAGCCGTAAAAGCTGTAGAGCCACCAACCACTGCCTTCGGACCCAGCCTCTCTCTTATCTTCCGGAAGCATACTCGTTGAGTCATTGAGAAAGCATGACTTTCTCTGTGGCATGCTTTCTCTTGAAATCTTCTGTTTGTCTTCAGAAACAAGAAAAGAAATAGGATGCACACATTGACATGTTGCTCTACCTGTGAGAATTAGGAAACATCTCGCATCTCAACAAAAGGTAGACAACTCAGTGATTGTCACGGACATATATCAGAGTGACGTAACTTTGGTGTCTATGTCCATGGACATTTAACAGGGTGACGTACCTTTGGTGTCTATGTCCATGGACATATAACAGAGTGACGTACCTTTGGTGTCTATGTCCATGGACATATAACAGTGTGACGTACCTTTGGTGTCTATGTCCATGACATAACAGAGTGACGTACCTTTGGTGTCTATGTCCATGGACATATAACAGAGTGACGTACCTTTGGTGTCTATGTCCAGAATTAGCTCATCAAACATGCCATCCTTTTCGATGAACCCGGGGTAGCCACACCTGAAGTGGGTGCCTCGAGTCTCCGAGTTCATGTGGATGTCCAACATGCGGGTGCTGACAGTATGACAGCCGTCTGTCTCCTGGACAACGTCCGGCTGTTTGTCGATCATCTGACCGTTCACAAGTGAATATACTTTTATTCATTCATTCAGTCAAGCAATCTTTCAAATATTTATCGCTCAGCATTTCATTTACTGACTCGTCATTAATTCATTCACATACATGTGAGCATTCACTAAAAACTCACTCAAGCAATAGGAATAAACTCATAGGGAGCAAGTACAGCAGGGATCTACCAGTCATCAGTAGAAATTATCCTCGTCGACACGCGTTTCGGCCCACGATTCCTAGACGCATTCGGAGGTGGGCCCTCCTGAGTTCATGACGCTCAGGGCTGGTTCTCCGCTGCACGGGATTAACGGCAAACAAATATCAACTCATACATTCATAAATTCACTAAATTATGTTGTCCTACGTTCATGCTTTAATTCATACATTCACTTACGGTATAGAGTGTGTATTGTCCCCTACATTAACACATTGACTCATACATTCACTTGCGGTATAGAGTGTGTATTGTCCCTACATTAACACATTGACTCATACATTCGCTGATAGAATAACCTATAAATACTTTTATAATACATGTTCTATTTCTTCCCGGGCCCTTTTCTTCCTTTTAGCGTCAGGTTTGGAAAGGCATCTGATACCAACCTTGGTATCTGCTACGTAGATGCTGGTATTTAACGCTTAGAATATTCCATCTATCTATCGCCGGCGTGGTCAACCTCTAGTCTGCTGCCATGTGACTAAGTGACAGGGTTCTCTGTTGTACACTATCTGGTGGACGTCTTGACACATGTCCAAACCATTTGACCTATTGTTTCCTGGTGTAGTTTAGCGCTGGTTCCAAACTTCTTTGTTTATATCATCATTTCTGATCCTGTCTTTTCTATTTGTTTTTTTAAATGTCCATGTTTGGTAAGTATAACACAAGGTTAATACACATACTGTATTGAATAGTGCTTGTATGGTGTCGGTAGTTTATGTTTGTTCTGGTGACAAATGTCCAATGATCTGACACGGATACACGGATGAATTTACTCATTTCAAACACTCACTCTGTCTGACCTCATCTACTCTGGAGTGGAGTATCGCCTGATTGACGCACTTATTGGACAAGATCGAGTACAAAGAAGCAACCCACCTGATGGTCTGACCTGAGCCTACAAAACCGAACGCGAAGAAGACAACAACGGGGTCAGCATTCAATCCCTACCAGGGCTCAAATGTTCCAACTTTGGTGGGTTTTTAAAAAAAAAAACCCTCTCCCTTTTTTCAGACTGTAGCCAGAGAGACACTAAGTGACTTAAAGAGCCACAATTATGATACTAACCCAACTGGAGCAAAATGGCAGACGATAAAGCTAATGATTATATCATGTTTTTGGTAATGTCCAAGTCTGTCTAAGGTAGGTAATACTGTTTTATATTGCGCCGCCTTTCTCTCACTCTCGCCTGCCGATCCGAAAGTTGTGGGTTCAAGTCCTTATGGAACCCGGCACTTTTAAAATAGTCTTTGGCTACCAACTGAAACAACCTAAAATGGGTACAAGGTGAAGTCCTGGGAAATAAGGGCGTCCGACTTGATATTAACAATACTATCCACCAAGTACTAATTGGTCTTTAACATACAGGGCTAGCCCTATATGCCCAATACACATAAAGGCGTAGAAAGAGTTCTGTACTTTACTTACTTATGGGGTAACCGGCCTGCTGCGAAGTTGGCAAGCCGATTACCTCTTGATCATGCGTGTGTGTGCCATGTCTGCCTAACGCTGCAGTTAACACAGTTGTATACTTTGTCACCTGTCTCCCACATTCTACTGTTTTTTTTTTTTTTTTAGTATCCAGAAACAATGAGTTGTTAACCCTTAGGCTCGGTATTATGGATATCACAACCCTTAAGCCTTGATTCCATGATAAATACCGTAAACCTGGGGAAAATGTGGCTTTTCTGCCTACCCCCGGGCGTGAACCCGGACCACATGGAGTTCGTCATCCGGTCACCGCGCAATCCGGTTTAGCTAACTACACTAGCGAGCCGGGCACATTCTACATTCAACTGCACATTTTCAGAAACATCTGGTTGTGGTTACCCACCGTAAAATACCTGGCGTCCGGCCGTCTGATGTACCAGACCAACATCTTCGGCTTGAAGCCAACGTCGGCCTTACAGGCAGCTCGTATTCGAGTGGGTTGTGAGCTGGGCAGGTATTCGTAGCTGATCCGTGGCGTCTGGGGAACCGCTGGTTAAACACACACACACACAAGTTTAGACAATATCATTGATTGACACTATTTTCTTGTCTAAGAATCAATCAGTCAGTCAATCAAACAATGAGTGAAGAATTGACATCACTGCCCTAGGGAAACTCCCACACGTACTCAGTCTCCGTCTACATGCTAATAGTACCAGCTATGACCTGGTTAACAGTCCGACAAACTTTCCTACATCTAAACCGAACATCTTCCAGAGATAACGAACTTTCCTACATCTAAACCGAACATCTTCCAGAGATAACGAACTTTCCTACATCTATACCAAACATCTTCCAGAGACGACGAACTTTCCTACATCTATACCGAACATCTTCCAGAGACGACGAACTTTCCTACATCTATACGGAACATCTTCCAGAGACGACAAACTTTCCTACATCTATATCGAACATCTTCCAGAGACGACAAACTTTCCTACATCTATACCGAACATCCTCCAGAGATAACGAACTTTCCTACATCTATACCGAACATCTTCCAGAAATGACGAACTTTCCTACATCTATACCGAACATCTTCAAGAGATAACGAACTTTCCTACATCTATACCGAACATCTTTCAGAGACGACAAACTTTCCTACTAAATCTATACCGAACATCTTCCAGAGATAACGAACTTTCCTACATCTATACCGAACATCTTCTAGAGATAACGAATTTCCTACATCTATACCGAACATCTTCCAGAGATGACGAACTTTCCTACATCTATACCGAACATCTTCCAGAGATAACGAGCTTTCCTACATCTATACCGAACATCTTCCAGAGATGACGAACTTTCCTACATCTATACCGAACATCTTCCAGAGATAACGAACTTTCCTACATCTATACCCAACATCTTCCAGAGATAACGAACTTTCCTACATCTATACCGAACATCTTCCAGAGATAACGAACTTTCCTACATCTATACCAAACATCTTCCAGAGATAACGAACTTTCCTACATCTATACCGAACATCTTCCAGAGACGACGAACTTTCCTACATCTGTACCGAACATATTTCAGAGATAACGAACTTTCCTACATCTATACCGAACATCCTCCAGAGACGACAAACTTTCCTACATCTATACTGAACATCTTCCAGAGATAACGAACTTTCCTACATCTATACCGAACATCTTCCAGAGACGACAAACTTTCCTACATCTATACCAAACACCTTCCAGAGATGACGAACTTTGCTACATCTATACCGAACATCTTCCAGAGACGACGAACTTTCCTACATCTATACCGAACATCTTCCAGAGATAACGAACTTTCCTACATCTATACCGAAAATCTTCCAGAGACGACAAACTTTCCTACATCTATACCCAACATCTTCCAGAGATAACGAACTTTGCTACATCTATACCAAACATCTTCCAGAGATAACGAACTTTCCTACATCTATACCGAACATCTTCCAGAGATAACGAACTTTCCTACTACATCGATACCGAACATCTTCCAGAGATAACGAACTTTCCTACATCTAAAATCTTCCAGAGACTATTCCCAACCCCCTCCCCCGTCTGTCAGTGTATGGTTTCTCTGTGTGTTCTACTACACTGTCCATTGGCCCCAGAAAACCTTCATTTGACCACGTTCTCTTTATAAAGAATTCTGTGTCCAAGAATGGTTGAATACAACTCGTATAATATGATGTCCTCCCATGCTCCATCAGCTGCTGGTTCAAGAGGTTGCCTACAGTTTGCTGGATCTTTTCTCGTCCACTTACTCTTATGCGGACACTTATATGTGTGTGACTTCTGTATGTACTTGTATGTGTGTGTGACCTGTGTATGTACTTATATGAGTGTGTGACATCTGTGTGTACTTATATGTTTGTGACCTCTGTATGTGCTTATATGTGTGTGACCTCTGTATGTATTTATATGTGTGTGACCTCTGTATGTACTTATATGTGTGTGACCTCTGTATGTACTTATATGTGTGTGACCTCTGTATGTACTTATATGTGTGTGATCTCTGTATGTACTTATATGTGTGTGACCTCTGTATGTACTTATATGTGTGTGACCTCTGCATGTACTTATATGTGTGTTTGTCCTCTGTATGTGATGTTATTTGCAGGGATACCTATGATATTGTCGGCAGCACTAGAAAAATTAACGGACCTTTTTCCCCACTTCAGGCTTATGGGGCATATAGGGCTAGACCTATATTTTATATACTAAATGGCACTTCGTGAGTGATGTGGTAAACATTACACCGGCCGCCTTTACTTCCCAGGACTGCAACTGGTACCCGCTCAAGGCTGGGCTGATGTGCCACTCCCAAAACACAAGAAGAGGAGGTTGAATGTCCATCAGAATTGTCTTCAACTATTCATACATATAGACCGATGATTGTGCCCTTAGACTTCATGTCAGAACCAATAATTGTGCCCTTATACTTCATGTAAGAACCAATGATTGTGCCCTTAGACTTCATGTCAGAACTAATGACTGTGCCCTTAGACTTCATGTAAGAACCAATGACTGTGCCCTTAGACTTCATGTAAGAACCAATGATTGTGCCCTTAGACTTCATGTCAGAACTAATGACTGTGCCCTTAGACTTCATGTAAGAACCAATGACTGTGCCCTTAGACTTCATGTAAGAACCAATGATTGTGCACTTAGACTTCATGTAAGAACCAATGATTGTGCCCTTAGACTTCATGTAAGAACCAATGACTGTGCCCTTAGAATTCATGTAAGAACCAATGACTGTGCCCTTAGACTTCATGTAAGAACCAATGATTGTGCCCTTAGACTTCATGTAAGAACCAATTATTGTAACTTTAGACTCTGTATAGGAACCAATTTTTTTAAACTTAGACTATATATATATATGGACAATTGATTGTAACCTTATATTACATGTAGGAACCAATTATTGTCACCTTAGCTACAAAAAGATGAATGAAAAGAGAAATAATTGTAACCCTAAACCGGATGAGGAATCAGTGATTGTCATCCGAGAGTGAATGTAAGGACGAACTCTCGTAATTCCATAACAACCAACATCCGCTCAGCTTACCATAAATCCCAGTTCTCAGAGTACAACAACCAGCATCCGCTCAGGTTACCATAAATGCCCAGTTCTCAGAGTACAACAACCAACATCCGCTCAGCCTACGATAAATACCCAGTTCTCAGAGTACAACAACCAACATCCGCTCAGCTTACCATAAATGCCCAGTTCTCAGAGTACAACAACCAACATCCGCTCAGCTTACCATAAATGCCCAGTTCTCAGAGTACAACAACCAACATCCGCTCAGGTTACCATAAATGCCCAGTTCTCAGAGTACAACAACCAACATCCGCTCAGCTTACGATAAATACCCAGTTCTCAGAGTACAACAACCAACATCCGCTCAGCTTACCATAAATGCCCAGTTCTCAGAGTACAACAACCAACATCCGCTCAGGTTACCATAAATGCCCAGTTCTCAGAGTACAACAACCAACATCCGCTCAGCTTACGATAAATACCCAGTTCTCAGAGTACAACAACCAACATCCGCTCAGCTTATCATAAATGCCCAGTTCTCAGAGTACAACAACCAACATCCGCTCAGCTTACCATAAATGCCCAGTTCTCAGAGTACAACAACCAACATCCGCTCAGGTTACCATAAATGCCTAGTTCTCAGAGTACAACAACCAACATCCGCTCAGCTTACGATAAATACCCAGTTCTCAGAGTAAAACAACCAACATCCGCTCAGGTTACCATAAATGCCCAGTTCTCAGAGTACAACAACCAACATCCGCTCAGCTTACCATAAATGCCCAGTTCTCAGAGTACAACAACCAACATCCGCTCAGGTTACCATAAATGCCCAGTTCTCAGAGTACAACAACCAACATCCGCTCAGCTTACGATAAATACCCAGTTCTCAGAGTAAAACAACCAACATCCGCTCAGGTTACCATAAATGCCCAGTTCTCAGAGTACAACAACCAACATCCGCTCAGCTTACGAATATACCCAGTTCTCAGAGTACAACAACCAACATCCGCTCAGCTTATCATAAATGCCCAGTTCTCAGAGTACAACAACCAACATCCGCTCAGCTTACCATAAATGCCCAGTTCTCAGAGTACAACAACCAACATCCGCTCAGCTTACGATAAATACCCAGTTCTCAGAGTAAAACAACCAACATCCGCTCAGGTTACCATAAATGCCCAGTTCTCAGAGTACAACAACCAATATCCGCTCAGCTTACCATAAATGCCCAGTTCTCAGAGTACAACAACCAACATCCGCTCAGCTTACCATAAATGCCCAGTTCTGCTGTGGAGAGAATCTCACCAGCTGGAGTAATGGCACTGCACCTGTAACCCAGATACAGATTGTCATAGCCACCATTTCCTTGATTACATTTCAATTCTTGTGCTTCCCCCCAACCCAACTCCCTCCCGTCCACCATTATCATCCTCATTGTTGTGACGTTTACCATCATCATCATCATCATCACCATCACCATTAGATTAAGTAACCAAACTTACAACGTTTTCCCATTGCTTTTACCGCTCTTCGTTCGTAATAGTTCTTTGATTAAATTTTAATTTTATATTTTATTATGCATTTCCAACAGTTAAATAGCCGATCTTCAGCGCGAATATCCATTCATCCGTCTAGCCACCAATCTGTCTGCCTACATATCCTGCAGTCTGTCTATCTATATATATATTATATATATATATATATATATATATATATATATATATATATATATATATATATATATATATATGCTGCAGTCTGACTGTCTATATATCCTCAGTCTGTCTGTACATATCCTGCAATCTGTTGTCTACATATCCTGCAGTCTGTCTGTGTACATATCCTGCAGTCTGTCTGTCTACATATCCTGCAGTCTGTCTGTGTACATATCCTGCAGTCTGTCTGTGTACATATCCTGCAGTCTGTCTGTCTACATATCCTGC